GACAAATGGCGGTCGGAATAAGCTTTACCGTTCAGCGAGCTGAATGAATGAATGACTAGACGACTGACTGAATGACTGAATGAATAACTGACTGCATAAATGACTAACTGACTGATTGACTGACTGATAGACTGACTGACTGATGTTGTCGGCCTTTTGGGCTGCTGCCTGACTAACTAACTGACTGACTGCTGTTTCCGCTTTTTACGTTCATTGCCTCTGCCACAATTTTAATTTTCCTAATGGATATCGATCCCAGTTGTCGGTCGCACAACAACAACAACAACAGCAGCAACAACAACAACAATAATAACGTCGCACAACAACAGAGTCGTCGTCGGCGCTGGCAAAAAGGATAATAGACTTCTTTATTGTGCATGCGACTCTATAAAAGTCAACTCTGGACTTTGTTGTGTGTGGCGGCTGCTCAGGACGAAGGATTGCGGACTGCGGACTAAGGACTGCCGACTGCGGGTTACGTGCGTCGCACTGGCATACAAACCGTGGCACGGACACACACACTCACACACACACACACACATGCAGCACACCTCAACAACCTCACACAATAAATAAGCTGCTACGTCATGCAGCGAAAACTGTTGGCAACTCTGTCCCACCAACACTCACCCCTACTCTATACACCCGCCTCCCCTCTCTCTCTTTAACTCTCTCTCTTTTGCTCTTTGTCTGTCCAGCCCTGTTTGGGCCTTTAAAGCTCTCTGCCACATTGAAAATTAGATTTCCATGCAGGCCTATAAAAGCCAGCTGACCATATGAGCCAAACGCCCCCGACAAAACTTCCACCCCCTACTACATGCCGCCCCTGGTCTAAGCATTTGCCTAAACATTTGGTAGCTCGGCATTTTTCGTAGCTATGTGGGCCGCCAAGTGCGAAAATTAAATGAACCGCAAGTCGTAGCTCCAGCATCCCCCACCTGATGATGAGCTCAGGCTGCGTCTCTAGAACCTCTTTCACCTCCCCTTTTCCCCACCTGGCGCTGGCTGTTGTGCCTTCATGTTTGCGTAGGTGTTTTGCGTGTTTCTATTTGCATAAAATTTTTACTATTTGCTTTGGCTTGGCAAACGTGACGGGGGCCAACGCGCCGGGTCGGCGGACGAGCTCGAGCTCTCTGTGGAGGCCACAGTCGCCAGCCCGCTCGGCCCGGCCGGAGATTGATACGAACTGCCAGTGAGACTCGCATTTGAAATTGAAATTGGAATTTGAAATTTGCATTTCGTTCGGCTTCGGGTTAGACAACAAAATAAAACGGGTTTCAGTGGGTTTGTTGGGTTCTGTTGCTTTCATAAGTAGTCGCATTTTATGCTAAATATACGCAAACATTTGAGAACCCCCCTTCTAGCCACACCCCCAAGGCGTAACTACCGGGCGCATCTTGTGAGAATTCCAATAAGAAACAATTTCGGAAAACCAAGTACTTTTAGTTATAAGACTTTAGGACTCATTTTTTGGTTGGAAGAAACTAAAAGAGATTATCCTAATTTTTGGCAAGGGTTTCTTCTATATTTGTCAGACATATATCATCTGATTGTGGGCCCAAATCTTAATGAAAAGTAAGGAGAGGACATAGGTATATTTTTTATTTTAAAAAAAAATCTTTTACTAAAGACTTTTTAATTAAGGCAAGTTCTTGAATAATGGTTAACCTAGGCTAGGCTTCTGATTCTTGACCATATCTTAAACTAACTTTAGTAGCTCTTAAGCACGACTTTTTGGCATACTTGCTTACATTTATTTCTTTGTTACAGCTCGCATCGTAACTGACATCCAACGGGGCTGCCAAAGTGACTACTGATTGCACATTTTACCTGCTACAGTTGCTAACCTTTGGCTGTCCAATCAACAATGGGGAGCAGGCAATCAATACCAGAGAGCAAACAACGTTGGGATCAATCAAGGTGCAGGACAGCTCCGATTTACAACAGCATTTCTAATTAACTAGCTAAGAGAGCGTGAGATGGAAGCTGCCAGTCAGGAAAGTAACGAAACAAAATGCGAATCGTAATTGTGGGATCAGTTGATGTTCCCAATTACCATATCCGTTACAAGTGAAAATGAGCTGAGCGAAAATATGGCGGTCAGGTAAGTTAAGTCCTTTTTTTCTTTTAAATTTTGCAATAAGAAACTATTCAACTATGAATGGGCAGTGTGTTAATCAAGTTTGAGCTAACGTTGAAAGTAAAGTATAAATGCTTCAAGGCTCGACTCACAATTCCCTTTTCCCTTTCCCTGTGAATAACGTAGGGGAATCAATTTTTAATGTTGAGTAAATCAACTAAGAAAACTCAATTTTCATGTATGGTAAGCCGAAGATTTAGTCTATGTAATATATTAAGTTATCTTGGGCTATAACCTATTATAAATCTAGTTTTTCATTACTCAAGCATTATTCAAGGAAATTTTCTTAAAAGTATGTTTAAAGAATATTGCGAACATTTCTAGTTTTCAATATTTTTTTATTTTGTGAGGTAAAAGAATTGTCTTCTAATCTTAAGTTTATAAGATCATAAAGCGTAGGAATTTTTTATGGGAGCTTACACCAAAGCATGACAGTTGATTCGAATAACAGACAAAATGTTTCCCCCATTTAATTTAATATTTACCCTGACTATCTTTCATGGTCAAGGAGGTAAGTTCTTACAGAGATCCACAACAGTAAAGTTTGCAACAAATAGTAAAAAAGGGAAATCAGAACATAAAGTCTGCTATCTATCTACCTATACTGAATTGAAGCTAGAAAGCCTCAACTTACACTTGCCCAGTTTCTGGAGAAATTGTAATCGAGAATGTGATTCGATTAATTTTAGCAAATCTATGCTCGTTCTCTTAAATAGCAATTGAATAGCAACAACAATGATAATGCCACATAACAACAAGTTGAAAACATTTCATTTGCAGTCAAGGGGAGGGTGTGTGTGCGTGGGGGGGGGGGGGGGGGGGGTGGGCGAGTCGGGCTACTGTGGAGCTAGCACTGCTTGAGTGACATGTCCTAAATTTGTAAGCGGGCTGCTGCTCGCCAGACTTTTACCGGCGTTTCAATTAACCCAATTAATGGACGGGACCTAATTAAATTTTGAAATCATGCTGCCAGCCAGGCACACAACAACACCAGCACACACCTACACACACACACAGCCAGACAAACAGACACACAGACAGACACATCAGTCAGCTGTTTTTGCTGCTGGCCAGCTGCGTGTGTGTTTGGAGGTGTGTGTGTGTGTGTGTGTGTGTGTGTGCATGAAGGAGATGGCGCGAAAGCTTTTACAGTTGTGGCACCGCTTACGTGTTGTGTGCGTCTGTGTGTGTGTGTGCGCCTGTGTGTGTGAGTGTGCTAATGTCAGCGTCTGGCTAACTGCGACGGCTATGACTGAGCATAGTGGCCCAAGCGGAGCTGATGACCTTGATTACAACATGACGAACCCCAACAGGAGCCGCAGCAGCAGCCCCCTATCTGCCACACCCACCAGCTGCTGTCTCGCAGCTCGCAGCTCGTCAGCGCAGCGCAAACGGAAGCAGCGGCAAATAAAAACGGTAAAAATAATGGCAACTGGGAATCAGCCAGACTGCCAACTGGCAACTAAAACAAATCATCAGCCAGAGCTGGCGGAACTGGGTGCCAAGTCAACGAACTGGGTAACCGCAACAAAACATACACACACACACACACACACTAGAAGGGGGCGCAGGCGTGGCACATGTCATTAAAATTGCAACAGAGCCTTGAACAGTAAACGGTAAACGAGACGCACACAAGCAGCACTAGCCCCAAAATCAAAAGATCAATAATTATTATGATGTTAGCTACGAGGCCAAAAGACGTTGCCACAGCCGCAACAGCAGCAGAAGCAGCAGCAGCGGCATTGGCTGTGGCAGCCGCAGCCAAGAGTCAAGACAAGGTGCGGCTGTGGCTGCCAAAAACTTCGACAAGCGCATTACACAGCCAACAATTGCAGCTAACATGATGGGAAAGGGCTGCTGGTAGGGAGGGGGAAGGGGTGGTCCTTCTGTAGGTGGAGCAGACTAGCGGCATTTGCTTACAAGTGCAACCATTTTGTAGTACAAACTTCGAAAACCAAAAGCGAAATTGGCAAAACAAAGGCAAAAGGCAGCAAAAAGGAAGAGCACAAGCGCCAACAACAACGAGAGCACCAGCAACAAAAAAGAAAATGAAAAAGCGGAAAAAGCAAAGAAAACGTGTGGGGGTTGGCCTGACTGCCTCCATCATGCTGCCTGTGGATTGCAAAAGTTAGCGACGGCAACGGCAATTGCAACACTCAGCTGTGTCGCCGCGCCAGTGTGGGGGGCGACTCATGCGCAGTGGCGCCAACCGATTGGCCCGCTTGGACGCCATTTAGAAAACGTGCGAAGCGAGATGGCAAGCGTTGTGTGCGAGCAGCACGGCCAAACACCTGTTCCTGTTGCCCGTTTTCTTTTCTCTTTTTTGTTTTGCTGTTGCTGTTGTTTTTGTTTCCTTTTGTTTTTGTTGTTTTTCGAACTGCGAGACGCGCCCCAGACCCAAAACGAACAAAACCGGTTGCAGCTGCTGCAGCGCGCGCGCGTCCAACGCACGCACACACACTAGCTGTGCTGCTCTAACACAGCGTGCGAGCGGCTGACGTGCGAGCAGCGCAGCGTACGGCTGGCCAACGAGGGGTTAGCTCTGCGCTGGCGTTGACGCTGGCAGCGGCGCAGGGCACGAATGCGGCGAGACGAGGCGAGACGAGGCGCGGCGAAGCGAGCGAGCGAGGCGAACGACTGAACGCGAGTATCTGTAAGTTTGCCTGTGAATCCGAAAGATACACACGGTCAGCCGGTTTAGTCGTTCAGCAGTCGCAGCGCCGTCAGCATCGTGAGGTACGCGTCGTTTCGTAAATAGAATTGTTGTTGTTGCTGTTGTGCGTTACGTTAAAACAACAACAACAACAACGACAGCAACACACACGCACAACCTAACAATTCGCATTCGTTGTCGTCATCACCGTCGCCGTAACCGTAGCCTTTCGCCGTTCTCGTCATCGTCGTCGTTTTTGGTAACGTTTGCCCGCCGTCGCCTTTGGATACAAGAATACGAAACTCTGCGCTCCCTCGACCTATGGCGTTATTACATTTACCTGTTCGCGTGTGTTCCCAACTGTGACAACAACAGCAGCAGCAGTAGCAGCAGCAGCCACTGGCACAGTCACAATAGTTCTAGCTAAAGCCCAAAGAGTGCGTGCAAATTCAGATACACAGATCCAAAAGTATCTTAACATAACTAAACTGTACAAAAGTGCCTTAAAGCAGCAACAAAAATCGAAATATTGCAAAACTCAACGCCACAAAAAACCCGCCCCTCACCAACAAGAAATCAACACTTGATGCTCAATGCAGAATATCTTGGCAGAATTTTAAGTTACGCTTTTTTGATTTTTTGATATTTCTCAAGTGTTTTTGGGTGGTTGCCGGTCTATAAGCCAAATATATGGTAATGGCAGAGATTGGTGGCCATTTGGCTCACCAGCTACCATTGCACAATCACAATCACAATCACAATCAAACTGGATTACAGCCATCGCTGGTGATGAATCATCACCTGGATTTGGATTGTCACGGCCATGATGTGATAAGTAAGTACACATTATATAGTTATATACGGCAATACAAACTACAAATCGGTCCATGAATCATGTTCTTAAAGTCGACGCGAAGCCGTCGGTAATTTTGAGCCAGCTTCAAAACCAGTTCTCAGGCCACAGAAGCCGGCAAATATATTGCTAAATAACTGAGCAATTTGTACTTTATTTGACACAGACCGCTTCAAGATACTTTTTACTCGTTGTACATATCGACAGGTTCCAGCTCCTATTGCCAAGAGTTTTAGTAAAAACAATTTGATTTCTTTAAGTCAAAAGGGCTAAGATACTAGTTAGGAGATTCAAAATGAGTTTCTTCTAAATACATAAGACTTCAAAAAATATATGAGAATGACGAATTCAATTGTAAAAACAATCCGATTTATCAGATTGTTAATGTAGTAGCAGAGGCTAAACATTCAAAAGTATCTTTAAACGATAATATTTGTTGTGATAAGAGATATTCAGAGAAATATAGCCACATGGTATGCATATTCGAAAGGTTCTTTAAACGAGGAACCAGTCTGAATGTTCTGAAAATACATTAAAATTCAGACGATATAGCATTAATAGAATATTAAGAATCTAGTCGGTATACAAGAAAACTTTACAATAGGGAAAGTCAGTCTTTCCTTTTTACAATGGTAAATCAAGATCAAACATCAAATCTTTCAGATACAATTATTATAGGGACTATCAACAGGGAATACTTATTTCATATGCACATATATATGCCATTTCTTAAACTAATCAGAGCAAAAAACTTTACAATATTCCACTTCTTGGTAGGTTTATCGCAGTTATGGGCACAATTTACAAATATTAAGCATAATGACTACAGTCTCATTAGTCCAAAAAACCTCACTGACGTGCTCATTAAAATTAAATTTAAATGCTTTCCCAAAATTTCTGTATAATATCTATACAATTTCTACTTATACTGTTTAAAATGCGAAGCCCCCACTTTAACTCGGGTTAATCAAGCCTATGCGTAAACCAATTGCCATTTAACAATCTCATTTCTGACCCAAGCAAAAAAAAAAAACACTCAACTAGCCAAAACTAACCCAATTTCTCACACATTACGCCTAACTATCGGGCTCATGGAACCAGAACCCGAACTTCGAAGCATTAGCATCGTATCATATGCGGCTAATAAAGCTATTTAAACGAGTTAATGACTTATTTATGGCCATTGTCGCACTCACATACAAATTAGACAAAAACAACGAAAATTTGCAAATTAAATTGCCATTAACCTTTACCAAAATAATAAATAAAACAAACCGAATAAAGTCAAAAACTTGCCAAGTAAAAGCAAATCGTTCAACTGTAAAAAATTTTATATTTTGGATGTGTCATAAAAATATACAAAAAGGAAAAACCCACAAAAAAAAAAAGAAGAGATTTTAAAGAGCAAAACAAATATGGAAAATGTTGGTAATGGGTGGGCAAAGTAGAAAACTAAACTCAGTTTTGGTAGTTTATATTTTCGAAGAATTGGAATTGCTTAGGAAAATGTTGCATATTCAGTTCAGGGTTGTCAACTGTTTTATGTGCACAATATTTCTCAAACTTGGTTTATAATTTTTAATTAGGTTCATGTAACAAAGATCAAATGAGCAGAGTTCAAGTTCAGGTTAGCAATAGGCCAGATTTGAAAGTTATAGCAGGGTATTACTTAAGTTCTTGGTATCAAATTTATTTGAGCTATCTAAAATTTAAATAAGGGAGATATTTGTAATCGTATTAATTATTTAAAAGAATTTAATTCTCAGTTATTGTCAAGGCTTTTATAGATTAAGTTTAGAAAGCGACCTCCATTTGAAAGTGTCAGTGGGACAATCGCGTGTGCCTACTTTTAAGATCTTACAGATAGATCTGTGCAGCACATTTTCGTAGTACTTTTTCAAATAGAAGGAAATAAAATAGTTATATGGCTAATATGTCGAACAACTGTGGCTCTCAGCTACAATGCTGGTATTCAAAACCCAAAGCTCAGTTTTAAGTTGCATTCAAGACATATAGATAGCTCGTGGAATTAAACCCCTTCTTTAAATATCAGTATACACTGTGACTTTTATTAAAACACATATTAATGTAAATGTATTTAATATATCTTCAATATGAATCAAAATTTAATGCACAAATTAATTCGCTTTAAATGCAAACCATTAAAAAATTATTTAAACAGAAAATTGAGATTAAAATTATTGCGATTAATTGCAGCTGATAAGAAGAAATGCATATGAAAGTTTGTGAAGTTAAATGTGAAATGTAGAGTATATACAAATGCATATACTTAAATATGTCGTAGGATATATTCATTTATTTGAATGTTTTTGTATAAAAGAGAGGTGACTAAATGAACTCTTGTGGCTTTTCATAATGGAGTCCAGTCAAGTGCTCAGCTCAAAGATGTTTGTTCGATCTCTACATAGGCATAAAGTCAATAACATCATTCCGAATCCAGTTGCTCTGACCCTTTTTTGACTGCTTTTGAACTCGGCTATCGGTAGAGAGGCATCTGTTTAATTGCAAACAGAACGATTCGCAAGACTTGCAAAATTGCCGCAAGTATCTGAAATTGTTTTTCTTGGGGTCACAAAAACATTTCACAAAATATAAAACCGAAAACAACTGCCTTTGACTATTGTGCTGTGTTTTTTTTTTTTTTGCGGTGGCATTAACTTTTAAATTATGGCTGTATTTTATTTTAAGTAGAATATAATTTTTGTGCCGCCAGCGGCCAATTAACGGTTGAATGACATTTTAATGCTTGGCGGCAATTATAGTGCGATTGCAACAAATTTATCGCATGCGATAAACGCAAGAAAATTTGTCAGCTGACAAATTTTTGTTAGCCGTGCGGAAAACCAAATAAAAATTATTCTCGACCATATTCGCATATCGCTTGCATTTCTAAATTATATTCATGCATTTTTAAACGCATGCCCAGCATCAACCAAAAGTGTCATTAAAAAAATGCGTGTGTGTGTGTGTGCGTGACAAAATATATTTTATTTAAATTGAAATTTGACGCTAAATTGTGACAAATGTTAGCTGCCAATTTTGTAACCAGACAAAAGACCGCAAAACACTGAACCAAAAAAACCAAAAACCAACAAAAAAAACCAAAACAGTTGCAAGCACTGTGTGTGTGTGTGTGTGCATGTGTGTGTGCCAAATAAAAAACGAGCGAAAGACGGCCAAATCATAATCATAAACACGTTGGCCCCGTCGCGCGCACTGCATTATAAATGAGCCAAAAACACGACTAGAAACTGGCTGCATATACATTTGTATCTGATAGATACATTAGCCTGTGGCCTGCCCAAATGCAGCCACATTGTAATTTCAATTCTTAATTTGTTTGCACACATTAAATATGAAAAGCAAGCAACTATTTTAATTTAAAAACTCCTTTTGCGAGTCGCTCGCCCGCCCCAAAACTAAACAAAAAGCGCCACAAAACTTATTTCTCTAGCAAGTTTTTGAGATTTTAGTTGATATATTTGAAATGAAAACAATTTCAGTTGCTGTGTTTAATTTTGTGTTTCCTTCTTATTTTTCACTCGTCTGTTTGTCTCTGTTCGAGTCGCTTTTGTTGGTTTGTTGATTCTGTGCGCCTGTAAACATTTTAATGAGTTTTTCATGTCGCAGGCCCATTGGCTGGCCCCTGCCTGCCCCTAGCTCTCAAACACACACACACACACACACACGCATGTCGCTGCTAACTTCTCAAGTAGTCGTTAAATTAATTAAATATAGTAGAAGGAAATATACAAAACAAAAAAATACGACTCGCTCGCGCTGAAGTTTTGTTTACACAAAGCGCGACACATTTTTTGTTGCTCAACGTTTTTGTTGCATACTTCGCGGCGCGGCCAAAACCCACACGAGCTGCCATTTCTAGTTTCTGTGGGTTCAATAAAATTAGATGATTTTTAATGCCAACTCATAAAAAATTGACAATTATTTGCGGTCATAAAAATCAAAGCGATTTTCATTTGGCCCCAAATAACAGCAAGGCAGACACTATAAAATGTGCGTGTGTATGTGTGTGTGTGTCGCAAATTTGTTTAGCCTAATTTAATTAATATTAATTAGTTTTAAATGATTCGAAACGTTAATCGACTGCTTCAAATTTGTGAATTGTTCAAGCTGTGGCAACAAGCAACAAGTTTTCGAAGTTAATTGTGAAAAATTGACTGACCAAAAGCGCGGCAAGCTTCAAATTTTTACAAATAATTTGTTAAATGACAAAACAATAAATCAAATTGTCATCCCGACTAGCAGATGCCCTAAAACCAACGTTAAGCTTTCTTTAAAAGCATTCGATCTTTTGCTTTTACAGCAATAACATATCCATTTTGTGGGGAATGGGAGAAGGGTAGCCAAAAAGTGAATAATTCTTAATCTTCGTATTCCTTTCAAGAACATACATTCCGCGTTTTGTGTATCTAGCTCTTAAAACTTTCGAACTAAGTATTCTTTAAAAACATAGTAAGATCGATATTTATCGATATCATGACATTAGAAGGAGGTATCGAAAAGAATAGTATACAAAAATATTCACTTAAATTTCAATGCTCTAATTCCTGTAATTTCCGAGATAAACTAGCTGCACAAATCCTTCTTCAGATCAAGAATATATATACAAAGAAGCCTCCTTCTGGCTCTTACATACCTTTGCCCAAAGCCATTCTACCCGTCTTGGCCATTTACGTTGCTTTCATTAGGTATAAAAAGAAATGCGGCTTTTAAATGTTTCAGCCATAAAAGGCAAAGTAGCTTTGCATTCAGGCTGAGAGAATGGCACAGAGCTAAGATATACGGATGTCACAGATATAGACAGATAGTTTAACTACCTATATAGGCTGCTGCCCGGGGGCATTCATAAGCTGTGCTCAGTGTGTGACAGTCATAAAGCTCGTGAAAGGCGATCGGATTTATTTTGTTTTATTTTCGTGGCCATAAATGTTCTCAACACA